GAAAAACCGCTGCTGAAGGTCTAAGAAAGCAAGCAAAAAAAATGAAATCCCACAGTGATAAGTCACATCCACCAGCCAATATTGGAGATAACGTCATGATACCCATTCCCGATGTGGACAAGTCTAAAGTTGACCTAATTGGCGTTGTTATTGATATCACTGATGAGGGGCTGTACAAAGTTGGAACGAAACATGGAATTCTTCAAACACTATATTGCAGAAACTCTAGTATTACTTTGAACCCCCACACCCCGGCTGCTTGGGTTTGGCCTGATCTTGAACCCGGCAAAACTAGTTTATCCGTACGCTACCTGGCCAAACTAGTTCAGCCTAACAATTCAACCAGGCTAATCTGATTTATCCTAACGCTGTTAGGCGAAACCAGTTCAGCCTGTAATCAATAAGGCTAAACTAGTTGATCCTAGGGCGCTCAGGAAAAACTAGATCATCCTAGTCCAAACTAGTTTGTCCTATAATCGGGTTTGTCCGGTAACATATGCATAAACAAGCAATAAATTACTTAGGCATAATCAAAGTATAGGCACGCGAAAAACAGCGAGTATGTCGATAGTCGAAAAACTGTCGCTATATATGTTACTAGAAGTTTTCCAGGTAGGTAACACTGTCAAGGACCATTCAAGTATAACTAAAAGTCTGCTAGTACATACACTCCTATCAAAATACATACCTAGGTACCTACTATTACTGCATTGGTATAGCAGGGTTGGTTTGATGTTTGTGAATTCAATGGTTTGTGTTGCTGCTTTTGAGCTTGTCAAACCTGATCCTCAAGGCATATGTTTTGCATAAGCAGCAGTTGAAACTAAATGATGGGATCGTCAATCAATAATTTTTAACCCTCACTTTGTATATTCAACAGAAATAATTCAAATTAATAATTAGGGAGTATATTGACCGGATATGCGGCAACGTTATACAATTTGAAGGAATGTTTCTATTGATTAATTATCAGCGGCCAACATAATGAACTCGGTCTGGATGTTGTCTCATCCTGTTGTTAAACTATTGCTTGAAAATATTCAGTCTTCAAATAACACGCTTTCCATGTGTTTAATATCCGGGGGGATATTATTAAACTGCACTGAGTGGAGAACGGCCTCATTCCCCAAATTATGGCCTGGACGCTCAGATGCGGGTGAACTAAAGACGTTTTATTCAATAGTCCCTTTATTCTACTTTTTGTACAGTTTATATACAGAATGATTGTGCACATTGCAATTACCTACTCTACATATTTTGATGACAACGTTATTAATAGTATCATTGAATAATATTCAGATTTATTATTCAATGATAGTATACAATTTCCTACAACCATTGAATAATAAATCTGAATAGAAAGACAACGCAATGCTTTTTGAAGGGTCCACTTTAACGGAGTTTCTCCGTAGGTTGCCCTCTGGGACAAAC